GAAATTAAAAGCAATAGTCTAACGTCACTTGAATTTTGAGTTTTAATTGCTTAAACACTACAAAATATTTGAATTACATGGAACATGAAAAATCTTAAGTGTCTGTGCGCTTCTTAGGTCCTTTCTGGGAATGAGATCTTTATGCTTAAAAATGAAACCAGGGCAGACATGTGCAATAATAAAAGCAGAAGTGTAGCTGAAGTACCAACCTTCTCAAAAAAAAACCATTCTCAATAAAAGAATAAATAAGTAAATAAGCACAAAACCAGACAACAAATTTTAAAAAAGGGTAGATACATACATAATGTACATACAATTTCTTTCATTTCAAGAACACTTTTAATTCACGCTGTCAGCTTAATCCATTTTTATGTGGGTCTTTTTTGTGGCATTTAGCAGTTTCCTTCACTTGTGAGAAACATGACAGTGGTTGTTTCTCATGTGAGAGGAAAACTATTGAGAGGCCCCTTCTAGTTTTGCGGTGAAAGGTGACATAACCCATAATTCCACTAAAACCACAATGTTCTTTTATCAGATGTTCCTCTCTGATACTGTGAGGGTGGTTCACATGATGCTAACCAAAGGACTGAACTTCAGAAAATGCACAAAGGTACTTATGTTCAAGTCATTATGTGGGGCATTAGAAAATAGGCAACCTAGCAGGTAAAGTATAATATAGATGAAATCATAAAATTTTAAGCAAGTTATTCAAGAAGCCTGTTCGCTCTACTTCTCAATCTTTAAGTGGTTGGCCAGTGTAGCTAATACAGTTTGTGAGTGTGAATTATTAACTTACTGTGTAAAGGCAGCAGTTAATTTGTTATATTAGATTTATCTGGGGTTTTTTTTGCAAATGGTTTAACAGAATAAAAGATAATGCTGAAGTTCAAAAGCACACACTGGTGCCTGCTAACAATGGCTAGCTACTGACACAGCTAGCAGTCAAAGGTAACTTGTTTAGCTCCCTCAAAACAGAAATATTTTATATTACACTATTTTTTACAAAAGGAGTGACTGTAAGTGTGTCAGTGTCATTTTTAAATCATTGTGTTATCTGTTATCTTACAGTAAAACTGATTTAATCTATTTAGTCTCATAAATGCTAACATTGTGCTAGCACTTTTATACTGAATATCCATTTACGTATATACGAAAGGACAGCCTCCCTCAATGGCATCCATTATCAAAAGATAACTACAAAAAATGTGAGAAGCCTTGTTATAACAGGGCAGTAGCTTACATCAGTGTAAAAGAAGCAGCTGGTTATCAGACAAGGTAGAGACAAGCAGGGGCTTGACCCAAGATGCAACATCCCAGACAAAACATGCTGTGGAGGCTCCTCACAAGGTTAAGGTACTTTATACCGTGAAACTACAAATTTAAAGTGTTATCATCTACTTTTATTTAAAAATCCCCCCAAAAAGATTACCTAGGCTACGTTTGTGCTTACATCTGACTTATGCGGTGTCACTGGATATATTGCTGTGTCACTACAATTGCATTATAATACTGCTGCTTCTGCTGTTGGCACCTTGTTGCAATAGAATCACACTTTGAATTAGGTTGTGTGTCATCACTGACAGCAGCTCATTGGAAAAGAAGGATGGAAATGCCTTGCATTTACTCACCCTTATAAATGCTGCTGCCCACACGCATCAATAAAACCTTATTCAGTATTTTTTTTCCTGTTTCACCAGAAATAATATTATTGCAAATTTTATTGAAATTTTGTAATATAGTTTTGAGACCCCCACCCCTAATTACAACAAAACAAGCTCCATTCACTTATATCTCATGAGCGCCCCCTAGAAAACTGGAAGTTATAGAACTTGGAGTTAAATATCTCTGGTGTCACAAAGCCTGCGACTTGTAATTTATCGGATGGCGACATCTCCAAACCAAGGAAACAATAATATAAAATAAAATGAGACATAAAATTAAAGTTGAATTTAAAAAAGATGAATTGAAATATTATAATAACACATATCGAATAAAATAAAATCTTTTTTTTTTATATTTAATTCATTTAATTAATACTGTGACACATACACATGTATATATCAGCTATTTAAATTCTGCTGATTAGAAACTGATTCCCTGAGTCCTTGTGTTACAGGTAAAGGGCTGTGAATAGCTGACAGGCTACTCTCTGCTCTACATGAATTGAATCTGAAGGCTGGGGAGGATGCAGCTTTTAGCGGTCAGGGAAAAACACTGGGTCCAAATTAGCATAAACAGGAGCACAAAAGAAACAGGGGATAAGAGCGAAACAGAAAACAGTGTTGTCAATAGGACCCCCCAGTGAGGAATTTCAATTTCATATATCTAATTATCCCTGTCAGATAGAAAGAAGTGACAAAAAGCTGTCTTTGTTCTCTGTCTTTATCTCCCGCATCTCTCTCAATTAATTTCAGCATACGAATATGACTAATTGTCTCTCTGCAGCTCTGAAGCCACATAAATAATAATTTCGACCCATGTTTGAGGGAGGGGTGGGATGTTCGTGCTTCGGTTTATGATATTTGGACACAATGGTTTGTGCATAATTCAGGTGATCACGTTAGCAGGCCGATCCAACCTCTCTGTAGACATCACCCTCTGCCCCACAGTCTTGTAGTCCGCATAATACCTCTATACTTTCCCTCTTTTGTAAACAAAAGCGTTATGTCTCTCATTTCTGTCACTGGGCTTGTTTCTTTGTTTAGAGTGGTGATATTAGCATCATAATCAGACAGAAAGAAAGAGGCGGCAGTGATGGTTGATTTATGCATGGTTTATGAGGAGAGACCAGCTAAACCAGTCAGCATCTGCTATGAATTTTCCAACATGTTTAGGTTTAGACATTCATGTTATAACTGAGTGATTTCAACATATAGTACTTTAGTAACTGATCTCTTTTCATTGGTTTATTTTCAAACTTGGGTGCTTTCAGTAATAGGCCCTTTTTTTACTGTTTATATTGTAATTACAAGAAGCACTCAAACTGCTCTTACAACTTTTTCCCTTCATCCAAATTTCTATACCCTTAAAGTATTGCACTTTGGTTTGTGACTCTGACGACTGTATAATTAATTGATATCCTATTCACTCTAAGAGACCTTGTCATTTCCCTCATATCAAGCAAACAAAAAAATATATCAAGTGAGGACGAAGGACGAAAATATGCGCTCGTGAAAAGATGTTTTATCACTTACTGACACTGACATAAAAAGCTCTTGAAGGATGGCGCTGAAGTGATGACATTTGTTTATTCACTCAAATGTGCCTAAAAAACAATCAGCACAACCTAAACACAATGAGCCAAACATCTGAAACCCGTCTAAACAAAGCGGCAGTCGAGCCTGTGCACTCCAACCATAAAACATACTCAGTCATTCACTCAAAGTGAGAGAGGGAGGGCAGCGAGGAGGGGGAGCGGGGGGGATGGTATTGTTACATTTCATTAGACACATTCCTTCTCTGTGGACTCTTGACCAGTTGCCATGGCAGTTCAGCTGACCACATTTCATATCAACTTCTCTTTCTCTCGGTCTCTAAGTCTTTCTTCCTTTGTTCTTTGTTTTATTTCGGTTTTAAACCAAGTGATTTTAATGACACTGCTCTCTTCAATACAACAGTATATTCAAGACATTATAAGAGATAGATTTGGCACTCAAGACTCCATTGCAACAGCAAAGATAGTGGTAGAAATATAACTTCCATGAAATCGAAAAAGCTTTTTAAAACTTTGTTTTTGAGGCATAACGGGTTGTAACTAGCATCTAGAAAAACTTCAATTCAACAAATATTAAAATGCCAACAAGGTTTGACTCGTTAAGTTGTTAAGGGCCAGTCACACAGGCCTAGAGTCCAGTCAGCAAATGTGGCAAACACTGTTTGTGGGGGAAAATATGTCTTCCCCAACCAGGTGTGGGTGGCTGCTGGAGGTTGTTGGCAGTCGCTATGAAATCAATTGCTAAAGCCCCATTCAGGTGACCTGTAGTTACCAGATGGGTTACTGGTCTTGAAGGAAAAGAGTTTTACAACTAGTTGATGAGTGGTTGCTGGAGGTGGCTGGCAGTTGCCAGTATGAAATTGGTTGCAAAGAGATAAATGGTGCAGCATTAAAACCTCCTTGGGATTGTTTTGGTCACTAGCAGGTTGCTGTGGTTGCCACCAGTTTGCATGGAGGAGGCCAACTTGTCTGCAAACACTAATAAACTATTTGCCAAGGGGTAGTGAAAAGTGCTAGGCAGAGAGGAAATGGAGAATATTTGCTTTAAAAATAAATGTTGCACCTTACCGTTGCGATAAAATATTGCATCAATAAGGCACAACTTTTACTTTGAAAGTGAATGTTCTCCACTTCCACTTGGCATTACCCTTCTTCAAATTTCTGTACAGCTTGGAGATTAGATGGTTAAGGTTTAGAGGAAATTCACTGTCTTACATGCAAATTGCGAATGATCATGCCAATCTGCAACCAAATAAATCATAGATTTTTGGAGGTTTTTTGGGGTAGCTACGCTCTTTGTGACCAATTTCACCTTGTAAGAGCTAGCAAAGTCCAGTAAAGGCTAGCAAAGTCCAGACACCATTTGCCAACCAGTCAGTGAACTGAGCTTGCCAGGAGGTTGCTTGTTGGTTTCTACTCTAGGGACTAAGCCATTTTGATTCAAGATGAACGGCTGAAATATTTGTGGTTCTGCTTAAATGCAAATAAGATTTGCAGATCTGTGGGAATATTTATATCTCCAGTATTCAGCAAACAGCCAAAATGATATATTATGACATTCTGCTTACAGGTAGGTGAAAACCTTTAGTTACCTATAGTTAAGCGTCATCGGCAGAGAGATGACACTCTCGGTTATTCGGCAGCTACTTTCAAAGAATCAACCAAAAATGAACAGCAGAACCAGTAAACTGCTATGACAATGGTGCTACACTGATTCAGCAGTTTCAAATCTGCAGTAGCTTCATCTGCTTGAGAGCACCCCAAAGATGTAGGCAAGTGTACTTACCAATTTGTTGAGCTTACTGTATCCATAATGTGATTAGCAAGGCAATTGTTCAAGAGCGTTTATAGGATAAGTCACATGTTGATCGTGTCTGCACACTTTTCCACATGCCACACACCTGTGGGGTAAAGCAAAATGGAAACTTTATTTTGGAGCATAATATTCACAATTTAATAATAAGAAAGTAATAATAAAGACAGCTTTATGTTACATTACAGTGAAAAATAATACTGAAAATGAAACAAGTGGTTTGAAAAAATATCTTGTAGGTAGCACTTTTCTATTAAACTTTGCTTTAACACAACATCCAGGCAGGCAGCTTTCTTTCTCAACATTTGCATATTTTGGTGAGTCAACATCCTGAATCAAAAAAAGTGCCACCAATAAAAGCGTAACACTATGCAAAAATCCTTCAGGACGAAGGTCATTATTGACACCTCATGTAGCTAAACCCGAAAATGGAACTGAGTCGCATTCATATTAACAAAATGCAACCTGTCATTCAAATCCAGGGGCACAGTTAGTCCAACTTTCCAAGCACCCATTAATTAGCATTTTTCCATCAACAGTCAAGTGTTTGCTAAAAAAAAAAGGGGGGGAAAAGGACGATAACAGAGGGAGACGAAATTAATTTGCATTCAGTGTATAAATAGTTCCAGGACAAGGGCTGTTAAGTTTGAAATTAACATGTAAACAGTTGGAAAGTCTGCCCTGCTACTCCCTATCCCCTTCTCCTTAACCCCCACCTCTGGTTCCCTTTTAGCGCCTTGATAAATATACATAAAGCCCCACACAAAGACCGCCTTGTTCCTTCAAATGGGCTACTTTTTAATGGAGACATATATTTCCAGGATTATATCAGCATTCAGTTGCAAATTTTGAGTTTTTAATACTCCAGTTGGGACAGTCTATGAATAAGAGTATCATTTGAATGCAAGGGAACACCTGGTGCTGAGGGGCTGGGCTTGGAGGGGGTTTTGAGCTGACCTGGTGACAGTGCCAAAGCTTCACTTGTTCCCAGAGTTTGCATTCAGATTCTCCCAGACTCGGTCATCGCTATGATACTGTAGAGTGCACATTTAAAGTTATTCTCCTGTCTTATAAATGTCAAAGACATGGCGCGATGACGGCTGCTACATTTGAAGTTGGAAGCGTAAACAGTGTGAGCTCAAAAAGTTGGAAACTCTTAAAGTGGAATTATCCAATATTGCCACGCAGCAGCTGAGAATTTCTTTTATTTCTGAAGTAGTGTTTTCAGTGCCGCGATCTGTCGTACAACTATATATTAACTACATTTTTGCTTATGAACCTTTGAAAATCATCATTATTATTTTACTTTTGCAAACACCTGCTGCTTCTGGTTTATGCCGATTGGTTAAAACACAAACAAGAACTCTGAATTCAAAACTGTTACGAGAAAACAATGGGGAAATTTAAAAAAAACTTTCAGCTGTGCTTTTTTTGTTGTACATTACTTGGCTGCATGAGAACAGAAAGAGGTGAGGGGGAAGGTGGTGGTGGTGTGGGGGGGGCTGTTTGGAGGAGGAGAGAGGCAGGGGTACAGGGTCTATTCGTATGCACCCCACATCCACTCAACACACAATCAGGCCTGTATTGCGTTTTGCAAATTTATACCCAGGATGTTGGTTTAGAGTGTTTCCCTGAAAAAAAGAAAAGGAGAAGGATTTTTTTTTTCAAGTAAGTGTCTGCTTTCATGAGCAAGAGTGATTGAGGCACACAAACAAACCTTTGTTTCCTAGCTCACAGATGCAAGGCCCGAGCTCTGATTTACACCCTACCCCAAGACACATTTCTACTTATTTTTAATACGTTGCGACTAAGACTTTATGAAAAATAGGCTTATTGAACACTCAACGTCATTTGTGGTCACCCCTCAAAAAATAAATAAATAAATAAATAAAATGGTAATGCATGAGGAAATCACACTGTTAGCAATATCCACTCCACGCTGTGTATCCACTAGCCATTCAAACCAGCCTGTCTTCTCCCTCAAAATATTTGCACAGCCTCATGTTTGCAGTGACGGGAGAGCTGTACTCATGAGAAGACAATCCATAGCGAGACGCAGGCAGTCAAAGTCAAAGGCACGGAAAGCTGAAGCGAAGGGGTACCGAAGTGTTGAAAAGTTTGACACTGATTCGATGTGAATATTCATGTTTGGGTTTTACTAAAGCAAATGTAATAAGGCCATGCAAACACTTATATCACATGTCATCGTAAAATATCAGTTTGGCTATATTTCTTCTACTTTCACCAAATGTTGTTTACAAAAAGAAATTGTATATTTGTGCAATACTTGCAATGTATTCTGCATCAGAGGAGTGGCGATGTCTTGACTAAATGTTTGCCACATCAAATCAATGTGTTATATTTGAGCTGAGAACACGGTCAAGTCGGTGAGGCTGCTGACAGCATGTTTACGTCAGTCCCAATTAATAATTAGTTTAATGATTTGAGCCCTTGACATGTGGCCCTCGACAAATGTGGGCAGGAAAATGCACACTCTGTGCCGTTTGCATAAATCTACCGTTTCAGCTCGAGCTGAGGGGGAAACAGAAGGACAGGAGAGAGTGAGAGAAAGCGAGAGAGCGCGCGAGAGAGAGGTGAGGGAATTATAGGACTCAGATGTGTGTGATTGGCGGTTCCCTTGGCTCCCAGGGTTAGAGAGTTCAGAGAAAAGCCGATTATTGCTCTCCCTCAGGTCAAGCCTTCATAAATAAACACGGGGAGAGCCCGAGGCACCGTGTTTTAGTATGATTAGCATATCATACAGGCTATCGACATGGTACTTATCATATTACAGCGCAGCCGTCCTCTGAGCACACGGAGGTTACATGTACGGGGCTGCTGAGCATACATCTCTGTTCATTAGAAGGCTCCTCGGGGAGAGAATAAATCATATCAGCACGTGGTTATACCAGCCCAGGCGTTTGACTCCGGCATACAGCGGATGTTAACCAGAGCCTTTAATAAGCTGGAGAAGAGCTGACAGTTAGCTTCAGACTGATGAACAGCGGAGGAGACGAGGGGCAACGATAGGGAGGATTGATAGTAGGAGGGAAGTACACTGAGAGGCAGAACTGTGGTACATGAAACTAATCTCTGGACCACTTTTCTGACACCTTACACTTGTGCTGGCCTCCTGAGTGTTTGGACCTGACTTCATCCTGGACACTTTTGAATCTGCATGCCAGCTGCATGTTAACTGGGTCCATTATGTCCTCAGCAGTACAATTAATCTTACAATGAACCTTAAAGTTCTGCATGATTACCAATTACATGTTGGGACTAAGATACCAGAGGCCTTATTTCATTACAAAAAATATAAGTGAAATGAAACAAAAGGTACCATTTATATATATTTAAAAAGACAGAATTAGCATTAGTGTTTTTATCAAAGACGAGCAAATAACTAAACAAACTACTGAAGCTTCATCTGGATTCATCACTTGGCATCTGAAAAAGAGTACTCTCACCTGCCCAGTAGAGGTGGGTGGATTGATCCAGATATTGATAGTCCCGATACAAATGCTAAAACTATCAAAATACTATCACAATAGGATCGATACTTTGATACTATCTTCTAAGTTCAGTGTGTAGCCCAGTGAATTGTGCTTAAAGGTGTTTTGTTGTGTTAATTTGCTTGTGGTAAAGTTGTCATTTAAGCTAGTTTCTGTAAAGCTCAGTGAACAGCAGACACACAGCGTGCACAGTTCTATCCTAACAATCAGAAATTGTGGCTGGATTTACTGAGGAGAGTCAGCCTGTCATGATAGTGCAAACCATGAATGCTGCATGTATCAACAAGTACCAGTTCCAACAACATTAAAATAAAAATGCCTACTGTTTTTTTTTTTAAAAAAAAGTAAAACTGCTTTTTAAAGTAAGAAAAAAGTTTTAGTTACCAAATCTAACATAAGAAATGTCCAACCTGACTCAAGTCTAGGCTTTTTAGTAAGACTGGCAGACTTGAACTCAATGACTGTGGTCACTGGCTACTTGGAATTGTGATCCGGTGTAATAAAATATGAAAAGGTTGACAGATTTTGGTGCAGTGAACAGAAAAAATAATGTTTCTATGGATGATAAAATTAGCCCAGAAGGAATTATGACTGTGTCTTAAAACTGCACGGGATGGAAGTCACCCCAATTCTCAGACACGCTGCTCAGATTTCAATTTACGGCAAGCCTTTTCTCCTTAGCTACACAAGCTCAGCTCACAGACCAGGGGCCACAATTAGCAGCTAGCCATTCTGACCAGGGAGAAAGAGTTAATGACATCCGCACCTAAGCCCTCCTAAGCCTAGGGAGCCGGGGCACCGAGGAGCCTCAGTGCTCTCCTCCTTCCAGTCAAGCGTGGCCTCTTTAGGTGGTCCGCACACACACTGGAGGGGATGATATATTCTAACTGGTATTAAAATATCCTCCAGGAGGCCGGGCTGCCGGGGATGGCCAGCTGGGTGGATATACAGTAAGAGGCTACAATGCAAAAACGGGGATATTGGATGGGTGTTTTTCTTGTTTGGGCTTCATGGTGGTGGCACAAAGCTGGGATCAGTCAGGATGCCATGTCGCCTGGATAATCACACCCACCACTGGCATGGATCTTATGCCAGAGAGAGGAACAGCAAACATCAGAAGCATATATTTAGTTTTGAGACCTAACATTAAAAAATAGGAAAAAGTCTAAACAATATCAAGTTTAAGGTTTTTATTTGACCTCATCGGACTGTTTGCAAATTTCCTTGCATTGTTGTCTGCATACAGCACCACGCAATAATAACACTTTATTAAACGATCCCACCACGTTTCCATTTACTCCATCACGTCCGTGCCTGTGTGTGCATTTCTCTGTGTGTTCTTAAGTGATGCCATCCCCTCGTGCCCACCCCTCAAATCCCCACACCCCACCCACCCATGCAAATTAGAACTTCACACACGGTGCGGCAAGCTGCTGGGTGCTCTGTGATTTCACACGACCAATTAAGGCCCTCTTGGCAGTTGTGTGAACAGTTTCATTAGAGGAGATAATATTGCAAAGTGAAATGATAAGCAATCATTATGATTAATGCCCAGACATTACATTGCTCGTTAATG